GAAAGTGCCGTTACTGAGCTGCCCAAGTCAGCCTGCCCTGTCAAACCAGCAACTGCGTCCCCATTCTTCCTCTGTTAGGAGAGATCTGACTGCATTTTTCTATTCAAATAAACACGCTAAGACCATCTCCATGGCAACCGGCTCACTTCTGAATTCACAGCTCCGGAGAACCTTGGGGAGAGTGCTCCTGAGTGCAGGAAAGTGCTGTCGTCTTCAGTACTCTCCGTTCTCCTTTACATCACGCACCCATCAGTGGGGAGAGCTTCTTTGGCAATAGTCAGGGGACAGAAAGGCAGAGGTTGTTCATAAAGATCGTCATTGTGCCAGGCACAGTGGCACACACCTATGTCCCAGCTTCTCAGGAGGCAGAGGCAGAAGGATCCCCAAGTTTGAGCCCAGCCTGGGCAACTTAGCAAGACCCCAGAAAGACCTGGAAATGCAGCTCAGCGCTAATCACACACACACACACACACACACACACACACACACACACACACACACAGTTTGTCGTCATGGAGGTTTGGTTTTGTGTTTTGAGACAGGATCTCACTATGTAGCTCAGACTGGCCAAGAACTCAAGGTGATCTTCCTGCCTCAGCCTCCTGAGGGCTGGATGACTGGCGTGTGCCCCCGTGCCTGGCCTCCTGGGACTAATTCTTCATTCTATCCAGATGCACGGTTGGGTCACTCTGACATAGGGTAAGAGATGCAACTCCCAAACCTGCTGGGTGTCCAAAGTGTGAGTTTGTGCTCTCTAAAATCAAAGAATGGATTCTAGAAACAGCGGAAGTTAAGAGTAGGAAAAACTTATCGGGAGAAAGATAGCTTCTGTTTAAGAAGGAGGACCAGAAAGTGGGTCACCCGCCCACCCTGCTTCTCACAGGTGTTTTATGGGACAAAGCCACGAGATGAGGCGGGTTCAAGGTGGGACAAAACTGCAGTCAACTGGTGAGAGTCCAAGTGCAGTCGCTTAGGTAACACTGATCCAATGAGAAGGCACAAGGTGGACACAATCGTGAGCAACGAGTGAGGTTGCGACAAGTACAGGCACTTAGGTAATGTTGGGTACATGGCACCCGACGGGAGGCAGGTCGAGCAGCCAGCGTACAAGGCAAGAGTGAGGATTCCCAGGGGTCGGGTAGGTCAGGGTCTGGGAGATCTGGTCCCCTCCAGGGGACAGATACCTCTGTAGAATATCAGTGTGGCGGTTTCTCTCCTAGTGACGGTCGCCTGCTGTCTCCAGTATCCCCAGCACTGCTGCCTCCCTCGGGACCACACACCTGGACCCCGAGGCCGGGCCTAAACTCAGCAGGTGCCGCCGGTCCCGGCCCCCGTGGACGTCGCTTCACCTCGGGCCTCAGCGTCACGGTCCCCTCCAGGACAGAGCTGGGACGGACGCTGGGTGAGCAGCCCAGGCCTGACAGCCTGCAGCCCTCCAGCGCTCTTCTCTGTGTTTCTTACTCTTTCTTTTTTCTTCCTCCGTTTCCTCAGATTGAGCCCAGGAAATGCAGGCCCACATCCACTTTTGTTCCATTGTTCTTGTTTGTTGGTTTCGGTTTGTTTTATTTTGAGTGAGGATCTTGCTCAATTACCCATGGTGGCCTTGAACCTGGGATCTCCCTGCCTCAGCCTCCCCAGTGCTGGGATCACAGGTGTGCACCACCGTGCCCGGCACTGCAGTTTTCTTCTTTTTTTTTTTTTTTTTTTT